CCCATCTCCCCCCCCCCACCTCCACCCTAGGAAGCTGCTGTTCTGATGGAGATAGAAGAAGAAATAGGAAAGCTCACAAAAAATGGAGGTTCAGTGCACAACCCTCTCATTACTATGAAGTTCGGAGAGGAAGAAGAAAAACAAAGGGGGTTCAAGGAGGAAGAAGAAATACAAAAGTTTGTGAAAGAGGACGACCTAACGCACAAGGGCCTTGCCACTGCAGAGTGTGGGGAGAAAAAAGAAACCCAAAAGTTTGTAAAAAAAGACCGTTCACTTTATGAAATTCTTGCCATTTCGAGGCCTGCAAAAGAAGAAACCCAGAATCTTATGAAAAAATCATTAAATCAGATAGAGACGGAAGCAAAGTTGGAGCTGACAGTGGACCAAGTGGTGGAAGAGTACGTGGGATCATTCGGGTTGTCGCAGCTTTTGCATGTTTTCTTAGTGTCACTGGCTTGGATTTTTGATTCACAGAACACGTTAGTGACCATCTTTGCTGATGCTCAACCCGAAGCTTGGAGATGCATAATAAATACATCGTGCGTTAATGGTGGCGGTGATAAGGGGGATGCTGCCGCTGTCTGCCGGTTGCAGCCGGGGACATGGGAGTGGACCGGTGGCCGTGCAAGTTCGACTATTGCCGAGTGGGGGCTCGTGTGTGACCGCAAATTTCTTGCTGCTCTCCCGGCGTCCCTCTTCTTCTTTGGGTCTCTCTTGGGTACTCTTCGTTCACAATCTTCACTTTTATTTCACTCATTCACAATCTTCACTTTTATTTCACTCGTTCACAATCTTCACTCTGCCTTTGGGTCTTACCATTAATGTTGTAATTGGCTTGCTGTAGTCCTAAAATGTGTGAACTAATTGGGTTCCAATATCTAAGTTTATATCTTTGGTTAACATGGATTTTTGACTCAATTATTGCCTTTATAATTATGTTTTTATTGTTATTTATAACTTATTCCAAGTTGTATTTTTTGGGTCTCAACATTTGTTGAACCTTATTACCAATTTAGTGGTTGTGATTATCAAATTTATTTTTTAAATAATTGTAAATTATTTACGTGAAAACGTTTTACATCCGGACATTTCAATGTTTTAAATATGTTTAACAAATATTTTATAAACACGTTTTTGCATAAAAATACAATTTTAAATCACTCATAATTTACGTAAAAGACATAAATTAAAATTATGTTGGAAATCCCGACATGCATAGATTAAAGATGAAAAACTAACGTAATTTGTTAATTGGGAAAAATTAACATGGACTTATGGTCCTAGTTTCTTTTTTAATTATTAGTAATTTTGTAATTTTTTAAGTTCTCTCACATATTTTGACTCCCTAATCTTCAATTGAGGTGGTACCAAGTAAACCACGTTATCTTAATACGTTTTCTACAGTTTTAGTCATGAAAGTTTACCAATTAGCATGGGTAGCATTAATCGTTATCCTACATATGGAAGTTGAGAATCCACTGAAAAAACTTGGTTCAAATTTCATCAATGTTGATCTGGTCGTATCATCTATCATGAAATTTGTTGGGCTCCACCAATGATTTGTATGAGTCTTTTCCACGCTAAGTGGGATTTATTATTTGACCGAATTATATAAATTTCTAATTAAGAGGATCAAAATCGAACAATGCTTGTGGCTTGTAAGGAATTTATTATAATTATTGGTAGTGGTAGTGGTATAACTAAAAGATCAATGTTATTTAGATTTAATTTAGGTGCTAGTTAGATTTAATTTAATGAGCTAATTTATTTAATTAATTATTTAAGATTGACTTATAACTTTGACAAATTAGATTAACAAATTATGTCCAAATAATATTAGTCTAACTAAAAAGAACAGCTAAAGAATATATTTCCATGTTTGCAACTACTTGCCAGTGAGCGAGTACTTTGCACATGTTGCTAGTGGTGTCAGTGAAGAGCGGAGATCAACGTTATTGTTGTATAATAACCTGATTTAATATGTTGCAGAGTCTAATGTGAAAATAATTTCGGAGCTTTTTGTCACAAGCATCTATCAATAATATTAGACTGACTAAAAAATGAGACAAAAAAAAAAATTACGTCAAATGATATGATATTGTAATAACGATATATGAGTCCCACATTTATTAATTTAAAATTTATTTATAATGTAAACATGATTAGTATAGCATTACTCTAAAAACATATTAGTTATCACTTTAATACCTTCACACGTATTCAGTGATTTAAAAATATAAATTAAATGATATAACACTGTAATAATAATATTTTTATACCAATTTGATTTTTCAATAAACAAAATTTACTTACCACCTCAAGTGATCATTTAAACTTTTTTTTTTTTTTTTATTCTCATTTTCTAGTCAGTCTACTATTACTCGTTAAAAAAATGAACGGGTTATCAATGAAAAAACTGTGTCGGAATGACTCGTAATATCTATGAGCAGGGTCTGCTGTTTTTGGTCGCTTAGCCGACGCATTCCTGGGAAGGAAGAGGACAGTGTTCATCTCATGCCTCCTGACCTCAACCACTGCTTTTCTCACCTCTCTCTCCCCAAACATATGGATATACGCTCTCCTCCGCTTCGCAAATGGGTTTGCGCGGTCCGGGATCGGCATATGCTGTCTTGTTCTCTCCACGGAGGCTGTCGGCCGCAAATGGCGAGGTCAAGTTGGCCAGTACGGCTTCTTCTTCTTCACAGCAGGCTTTCTTTCGCTGCCTCTCATTGCTTATCCCACCAGAACTCACTGGAGATATATATACAGAATAATTTCATTCCTTCCTCTTGTATACTCCTTATTTATACTCCCATTCGTGTCCGAGTCGCCACGTTGGCTTGTTGTTCGAGGAAGAAGCAAAGAAGCACTTGAAGTGTTGAAAGAATATGCAAGACTCAATGGAAAGAAGCTTCCTGCCAATCTAACTCTTTCAGAACCATCAATTTTCAGAGTTGATACTGATGGTGAAACTGCATTGTCCAAATCAGAAGCAAAAATGGACCTGTGGACTACAAAATGGGCTGCTAAAAGAATGATCATGCTCATGATATCCGGATTTGGAGCCGGGTTTGTCTACTATGGCATTCAACTCAATGTCGAAAANAGGCATACATGCATATCATATATTTAATATAATACAAATATTTTAACTATACAGATTATCAATAGAAAATGAAAAAATTTTATTAAATAATAAACTGAGTTTCGTTACAAAATGTAAGCTTTTAGTAAATAACTTTGTAAGTGTAGGTTGTAGATTATGTTAAAAACAAGTTAGTATAATACTGGAACCGATAACATTATTAAGACTTTGAGCAACTCCAAGGAGGTTATGTAAACTAGCTAGCAAAAATATTTTTTTTTTATTATATTATCTACTTTAGCTAACCATATTTTCAAATTCACTCTAACCACACTATCTATTTTAACTAATCACTTTAACTAGCTTTAACTAACTATAATAAAATTCCCAAAATGCGGACTGCCAATTGGTGAACATAGACTTGAGAGTTCTATAATAAAATCCCCAAAGTCCAAAACAAATTACATGTATTGGTGAACCATTACAAATCAGAAGCAAGACATACAGATTCTACAAAATTAGAACAACAAAGTCAAAATACAAAGTTAAAAAATTATAAGTTATCAACAAAACAACTCAAAGAACATAAAATCACTAACAAATCGGCCCTCACATTGACACCAAAAAAAAAAGATTTCAACTTCCATAAACCAAAAATAGAAAGAATCCATTAAGACCAACGAAAATGTATCACATTCGCCAATCTATCAACCAAATAATATAAGAAATCGTGAATTATGCTCAAAAACTCTCACCCAAACCCCACATAAGTCAAAGCATCAAACCAACATAAAGACACACACCCATCCTCCAACATCACAACCAGAAGGGAAAAAAAAAGAAATTAATGAAGAGACAAGAGAGAGAAAAACTACATGCATATATATATCTTGCATATATCTTATATATTTTTAAAGGCAATTCCAAAACCAGGCGATCGAAGTTTGAAATCGAAAACCCAAAACCAGTCCTTCAAATCAGTCCATCGAAGTCTGAATCAATCCATTGAAAATCGAAAATCAAAGTCTGATGAGGGATGAAGATGATGAAGCCTTCAGGGGAATGATTCAAACGATGAAGCCTTCTTAAGACAATGAAACGATGAAGCCTGCTTCTGTGATGTGTTGTTGGCGCAAAAATCAGAGTAGCTAGCTTCTTTGCCCTAGCCAGGAGTAGCTAGCCATATGGTGGTAATGGAAAATAGCTAGCGTGATAGCTAGTCCTTGGAGCCAATATTTAAGAATTGGCTATTTAAAATAGCTAAAATGGGTGTTTTATGGAGTCCCTTGGAGTTACTCTTATAAAGCTGACTTAATAACCTAATGTAACATGATTTAATGACATTAATATTGTTAAATCATATTAGGGATTATTTAATCTCGTGGCATTGCTATTTTCGAATTAATAGGAGCTGTAAATTTAAACGTCATAAATTTTTATTCGTAATAACTTCTTGGAGTTAGACTCTAAAAGTTGTATTCTTTATGAATATCTTAATCTTTATGTAAATGATTTATCTTTAATCAAATATGAGAGAAAATTAATAAACATACGCGTAAATTAATACGAACATCGACTATTAAATAAAAAAAATTATAATTAATTGGCCCAAAATCTTACATGCAAAAGGCACGTCTGCAAAGCGGTGCCTATGTCTTTAATGAAGGCAATACAATAGCTGTCTTACACGGAATGCCACCTTTGGGGAACGGGAAAAAAGAGCGTTTTGCAGCGGCGTAACACGTCAAAGAGCACTTCTCACAATGGAGAGGCAGGTGGACAGGCCATTCGTCATGTGTGACCCTTCTCGCAATCTCTTTCCTCTCTATAAATCCACAGAAGAAACAGAAGAGACACTAGCAAACAGGGCGGTGTCCTACTGTCCATCACTTACAGTTACACCACCACCACCACCACCACCCCCCCCCCCCCCCCCCCCCCCCCCCCCCCCCCCCCCCCCCCCCCCCCCCCCCCCCCCCCCCCCCCCCCCCCCCCCCCCCCCCCCCCCCCCCCCCCCCCCCCCCCCCCCCCCCCCCCCCCCCCCCCCCCCCCCCCCCCCCCCCCCCCCCCCCCCCCCCCCCCCCCCCCCCCCCCCCCCCCCCCCCCCCCCCCCCCCCCCCCCCCCCCCCCCCCCCCCCCCCCCCCCCCCCCCCCCCCCCCCCCCCCCCCCCCCCCCCCCCCCCCCCCCCCCCCCCCCCCCCCCCCCCCCCCCCCCCCCCCCCCCCCCCCCCCCCCCCCCCCCCCCCCCCCCCCCCCCCCCCCCCCCCCCCCCCCCCCCCCCCCCCCCCCCCCCCCCCCCCCCCCCCCCCCCCCCCCCCCCCCCCCCCCCCCCCCCCCCCCCCCCCCCCCCCCCCCCCCCCCCCCCCCCCCCCCCCCCCCCCCCCCCCCCCCCCCCCCCCCCCCCCCCCCCCCCCCCCCCCCCCCCCCCCCCCCCCCCCCCCCCCCCCCCCCCCCCCCCCCCCCCCCCCCCCCCCCCCCCCCCCCCCCCCCCCCCCCCCCCCCCCCCCCCCCCCCCCCCCCCCCCCCCCCCCCCCCCCCCCCCCCCCCCCCCCCCCCCCCCCCCCCCCCCCCCCCCCCCCCCCCCCCCCCCCCCCCCCCCCCCCCCCCCCCCCCCCCCCCCCCCCCCCCCCCCCCCCCCCCCCCCCCCCCCCCCCCCCCCCCCCCCCCCCCCCCCCCCCCCCCCCCCCCCCCCCCCCCCCCCCCCCCCCCCCCCCCCCCCCCCCCCCCCCCCCCNCCCATCTCCCCCCCCCCACCTCCACCCTAGGAAGCTGCTGTTCTGATGGAGATAGAAGAAGAAATAGGAAAGCTCACAAAAAATGGAGGTTCAGTGCACAACCCTCTCATTACTATGAAGTTCGGAGAGGAAGAAGAAAAACAAAGGGGGTTCAAGGAGGAAGAAGAAATACAAAAGTTTGTGAAAGAGGACGACCTAACGCACAAGGGCCTTGCCACTGCAGAGTGTGGGGAGAAAAAAGAAACCCAAAAGTTTGTAAAAAAAGACCGTTCACTTTATGAAATTCTTGCCATTTCGAGGCCTGCAAAAGAAGAAACCCAGAATCTTATGAAAAAATCATTAAATCAGATAGAGACGGAAGCAAAGTTGGAGCTGACAGTGGACCAAGTGGTGGAAGAGTACGTGGGATCATTCGGGTTGTCGCAGCTTTTGCATGTTTTCTTAGTGTCACTGGCTTGGATTTTTGATTCACAGAACACGTTAGTGACCATCTTTGCTGATGCTCAACCCGAAGCTTGGAGATGCATAATAAATACATCGTGCGTTAATGGTGGCGGTGATAAGGGGGATGCTGCCGCTGTCTGCCGGTTGCAGCCGGGGACATGGGAGTGGACCGGTGGCCGTGCAAGTTCGACTATTGCCGAGTGGGGGCTCGTGTGTGACCGCAAATTTCTTGCTGCTCTCCCGGCGTCCCTCTTCTTCTTTGGGTCTCTCTTGGGTACTCTTCGTTCACAATCTTCACTTTTATTTCACTCATTCACAATCTTCACTTTTATTTCACTCGTTCACAATCTTCACTCTGCCTTTGGGTCTTACCATTAATGTTGTAATTGGCTTGCTGTAGTCCTAAAATGTGTGAACTAATTGGGTTCCAATATCTAAGTTTATATCTTTGGTTAACATGGATTTTTGACTCAATTATTGCCTTTATAATTATGTTTTTATTGTTATTTATAACTTATTCCAAGTTGTATTTTTTGGGTCTCAACATTTGTTGAACCTTATTACCAATTTAGTGGTTGTGATTATCAAATTTATTTTTTAAATAATTGTAAATTATTTACGTGAAAACGTTTTACATCCGGACATTTCAATGTTTTAAATATGTTTAACAAATATTTTATAAACACGTTTTTGCATAAAAATACAATTTTAAATCACTCATAATTTACGTAAAAGACATAAATTAAAATTATGTTGGAAATCCCGACATGCATAGATTAAAGATGAAAAACTAACGTAATTTGTTAATTGGGAAAAATTAACATGGACTTATGGTCCTAGTTTCTTTTTTAATTATTAGTAATTTTGTAATTTTTTAAGTTCTCTCACATATTTTGACTCCCTAATCTTCAATTGAGGTGGTACCAAGTAAACCACGTTATCTTAATACGTTTTCTACAGTTTTAGTCATGAAAGTTTACCAATTAGCATGGGTAGCATTAATCGTTATCCTACATATGGAAGTTGAGAATCCACTGAAAAAACTTGGTTCAAATTTCATCAATGTTGATCTGGTCGTATCATCTATCATGAAATTTGTTGGGCTCCACCAATGATTTGTATGAGTCTTTTCCACGCTAAGTGGGATTTATTATTTGACCGAATTATATAAATTTCTAATTAAGAGGATCAAAATCGAACAATGCTTGTGGCTTGTAAGGAATTTATTATAATTATTGGTAGTGGTAGTGGTATAACTAAAAGATCAATGTTATTTAGATTTAATTTAGGTGCTAGTTAGATTTAATTTAATGAGCTAATTTATTTAATTAATTATTTAAGATTGACTTATAACTTTGACAAATTAGATTAACAAATTATGTCCAAATAATATTAGTCTAACTAAAAAGAACAGCTAAAGAATATATTTCCATGTTTGCAACTACTTGCCAGTGAGCGAGTACTTTGCACATGTTGCTAGTGGTGTCAGTGAAGAGCGGAGATCAACGTTATTGTTGTATAATAACCTGATTTAATATGTTGCAGAGTCTAATGTGAAAATAATTTCGGAGCTTTTTGTCACAAGCATCTATCAATAATATTAGACTGACTAAAAAATGAGACAAAAAAAAAAATTACGTCAAATGATATGATATTGTAATAACGATATATGAGTCCCACATTTATTAATTTAAAATTTATTTATAATGTAAACATGATTAGTATAGCATTACTCTAAAAACATATTAGTTATCACTTTAATACCTTCACACGTATTCAGTGATTTAAAAATATAAATTAAATGATATAACACTGTAATAATAATATTTTTATACCAATTTGATTTTTCAATAAACAAAATTTACTTACCACCTCAAGTGATCATTTAAACTTTTTTTTTTTTTTTTATTCTCATTTTCTAGTCAGTCTACTATTACTCGTTAAAAAAATGAACGGGTTATCAATGAAAAAACTGTGTCGGAATGACTCGTAATATCTATGAGCAGGGTCTGCTGTTTTTGGTCGCTTAGCCGACGCATTCCTGGGAAGGAAGAGGACAGTGTTCATCTCATGCCTCCTGACCTCAACCACTGCTTTTCTCACCTCTCTCTCCCCAAACATATGGATATACGCTCTCCTCCGCTTCGCAAATGGGTTTGCGCGGTCCGGGATCGGCATATGCTGTCTTGTTCTCTCCACGGAGGCTGTCGGCCGCAAATGGCGAGGTCAAGTTGGCCAGTACGGCTTCTTCTTCTTCACAGCAGGCTTTCTTTCGCTGCCTCTCATTGCTTATCCCACCAGAACTCACTGGAGATATATATACAGAATAATTTCATTCCTTCCTCTTGTATACTCCTTATTTATACTCCCATTCGTGTCCGAGTCGCCACGTTGGCTTGTTGTTCGAGGAAGAAGCAAAGAAGCACTTGAAGTGTTGAAAGAATATGCAAGACTCAATGGAAAGAAGCTTCCTGCCAATCTAACTCTTTCAGAACCATCAATTTTCAGAGTTGATACTGATGGTGAAACTGCATTGTCCAAATCAGAAGCAAAAATGGACCTGTGGACTACAAAATGGGCTGCTAAAAGAATGATCATGCTCATGATATCCGGATTTGGAGCCGGGTTTGTCTACTATGGCATTCAACTCAATGTCGAAAACCTCAACTCCAATCTATATTTAACTGTCGCACTCAATGCCATGATTGAGATTCCGGCAGTTTTCCTCGGCAGCGTGCTTTTGAGCTTCGCAAACCGCCGGCTGGTTTTTTCCGGGTCTGCCTACGTGGCCGGAGTTTCGTGCATCGTCTGCATTATTTTCTCCATAGGACGTGAAAATGGTGACAAATATGGAAGAAGATGGGCTCAACTAGGCGTTGAAGCAGTTGGGTTCATGGCTGCGTCGACAGCTTTTGATGTACTATACATCTACTGCGTGGAGCTTTTCCCAACGAATGTGAGAAACTTTGCTGTTTCTATGATGCGCCAAGCCTTGATGTTGGGGGCTTCCATTGCTCCTCTGCTGGTTGCTCTTGGAAGAGTTAGTCCATCTCTTTCCTTCCTTATTTTTGGGACATTGTCCATCTTTAGTGGTGTGTTGAGCCTCTGGCTTCCTGAAACTAAGAATGCTCCACTCTATGAGACATTGGAGCAACAAGAGGTAGAGGAAAACCTGAATTTTGCTTCTAATGACTCGGGATTAGAACTTGGAAGTTAAATGAAATGAACACTTGGATGTTCATCTAAATATGTTTATATTTAAATGTCAAATAAAATCTCTCTTTTTAGGCACATGAGAGATGAGTAAAGGTTATTCTTCCATTAGAGAATTTAAGGGGCGTTTGTAATTTGACCAAAAAGACATGAATCGAATATCCTAGAATTTCAGTGCCAAATTGAAAAAAAATGAGTTCCAAAATGACAAAATCTCATATAAAGGGACCAAAGATGTACTTTGCCCTTTATATTATCCATAATAGTCCACCTATGACAATGAAATGTTTAACTTGATGGAAATAAAAATTAGAAAATTTTATTTATACCTAATTAAAGACCTAATCAATCGTAGTGTTGAATTGAAAGTGAACTTTATTTATCTTTGAAATTCACAACTAATGAAATGGGAATAATGAATTAGATTTTCAAATTATGTTTAAATAGTATTGCTCATAAAACATTCTTACTTAATTATATATTTCTATCCATGAAAAATTATCAGGATTAATATATGATCAGCAATAATACAATATCAACCATAATATCATGTCAATAAAGTTCAAGGTTCTTAACTTAAAGCAATCTTGGCATCCTGACACACACTAATCCCAAGCTCCAATTTATTATTGATTTCTCCATTTACAAAAACATTTAAGAAACAGCCATATATTTTTATTGAGCAAAAAACAGCCCCCCATTTGAGCGAAGTTTTCGGCTTTCCCCATTATAACTTAGATCATCTATCATATCTAATAAGCCACACAGCATTTCACAATAAGACAAAAACGAAACCTTCCTAATGGGTGTTTAAATTTTTGATTATCCGTAATTTTTTATTTTACCCGACCTTACCTAACCCTATTGATCGGTTAGCCGAAAAAATTGGGTCAGAATACGTAAGATTTTTTGGTCTTCCGATTAAATTGGATAGAAATGAGGAATACCTATCAAATTTTTGTATTCTTACCCTGCCCTACCCTACATGTATATGTGTGTATATATATATATATTAAAGCAATTATGATTTTTAATGTGTTTTATATGGTTTAAACCTAAAATAGTTATTGTATTTGTGCAACAATTATGATTGATTGATATTTATGTTTTAGATTTTCTTGTATTTTATTGTAATTATTTTAGGTTTTAATGTTATTGGTTTATTGTGTTGTTAAATTGATGCATATTATTTAATTAAATTGTTAAAATGACCCAAAAATTAATAACTACAAAACGTATTCACCTGAGTTCCTATCCGACTTCCTACCTGATTAATTTGAACGGAAGTCGGATAGAAATACTACACTTAATCGGGATAAAGATAGATTACGAAAAATTCTTGCGGAAAGTATCGGGTAAAAAAATAAAAAATTATATTTTCTACCCGTAAGGTATGGTGGACACCCTTACCTCTCACATTTCACAAAAAGAGAAAAATGGAGTCTCTTGGTGTGGACAAAATAAATTTTGTAATACAATATAGATATTTCTTCAATTCTAACTCCCAAAGGATGAATAAAAAAAAGTAAAAAATCCCGAGAAGAAAATAGTCTTACCCCCGATACTGGTGTTTACATTAAAAAAAAATATTCAATATTGACCGTTCCCTGTTATTTCTTTATTTTTTCTTTAATATTAAAATGTCTCGTGATTGCAATTCTCCGATTGGACCCAAGCAGTCAACTGAATAAAATGAAGCCAAAAAATGCCAAGAAATTCTAAATATTATTTAGACTTAATTTGAAGTGTAATGGTATTTGGACATTAAAAATTGATCTAATATATTGACGTAATAATTTATTAAGTGATGGAATCCTAGTGAAAAAGTCTAAGAGTCACAAGAATAACAACAATATTGGATCACATCACTACCACATCATTAAGTCACCAACTTAGGCCAGTTTATTAGATCCAAATAGTACTACTCTAATTTCAATACTTAATTTAGGGATCTAATGCAATGTTATTGTAGGATTAGTGTTGGATAGGTCTCACAATGGTGTTGGTGAATCAAATTTGTTTCGAGACTTGATAGGTTTAAGTCAAGCAACACTTCACTCATATACTATTCATTTATTTAAATTTAAACGGGTCAAAATGTCAAACTTAGATATGACTCTTTAATTACACAAATTACACAACACGACCTGTCATTTTAGTGTACACATAAGAAAATATACATATACATATTTTAAATATATTTTATTCAACATCATATTATAGTCAAAAATCCAAAAAGACCAAGAAGCCCAAGTTCAAATATTACTAGGCCTGACAATCGTATCGAGTGGAACAGTTTTGTGTCGGGTGGAATGAATTTGTGTCAAAAAACCCTTCATCCATATCCTATTCGTTTATATAAACGAGTTCAACTATCACATTCATACATGAATCATTTATTAGACGGATTACCTAATACAACTTGTGTGTCCCTTGCTAAATCAGAGAATAAGTTAGATAATTTCGAGTCCACAAGAAAAATCATTAACTTATCACACATTACACATGTTTGATCTTTTCACTGTAACAATAAATCATGACTGTGCAAAAAAAATAAAGACAAAAAATAAATATTAAATAACTACTAAATTTGAATAATTTTGAGAGATGAGACGTGTGAGATGAAACAGAGACCAAGAGACTTAACTTGTTTTTTAAAAATTTATTGTGCCATTGTTAATGAGTTAAACGAATTAAAACAAGTTTATGGGTTAAACACAAAACTAATTAGTTTATTACATAAGTCTGTCGAGTTAACTCGTTAACCACCCGAACCCGTTAGGACTACACTCAAACTCGTTAAATCCGTGTCGAATACGTATCGGTTTCACGAGTCGTGTCTAGAATTATCAAGCATAAATATTACCTCCAAATTTGAGGCGCTGCTTGGACTTTTTGAGAGCAAGTAAACTTTCAAAAATGATTGTACCATCCACATTTTGTTTAACTTTGCTCATTCGGTTACAACCCACAAACTCAAAAAAACCAAAAAAAAAACAAAAGACCTATGTCACTGTTTAGATTGCTCTGCATTTATTTAAGAAGCGATGACTTCACAGCCTGCCCATCCAATATCCTACTTGACACAACCATTTTTTGCAAAATTCCAAGGAGATTCCCATGCATGCACAAGAACTTATATGACTTGAAAAATATGCAAATGCTAGTTGTACTCATCAATACTAGTGAAAAAAACGAAAAGAAAACAGCACACAAAAGCCAGTAATATAAAACGTCTTCGTTTTGATGTTTTCATCCATAATGTTTAGTAGATTAAGAAGGTGACAACAAACTGCGCCTAGAATTCTACAAAGACATGAAGCTCAGAACTACTCTAGCGGCAAAAATAATGACCAAAAATTACTAGTTTCAGTTAAAAAAAAATTCAAAAGTAGGGTTTGATCAGAATTCTCATGCTTGAATATGATGAAAAGTCAGAATACTGCAGAAATAAGAAAAATCCAATTCTCAATGTCTAAAAACAGCCGAGTTGTCAAATTCTTCCAAGTGCATGTAACTATGCTGCCATCAAATTCATCCAAGTGCATTAGAGCGAAATATTGATGGTTATTTCTAAATGCTAGGCATGTGGAAGTTCATTATAGATTGTGCCTTATGTTTCTTTGATTCCCCGAACTATTTAGTAGACAGAATAGCAAGCCACAGAGAGATACCCATCCAAGAAGCAGCACTATAGCAGAATAACAAGTTTAGCCCTTCAATTCAAGCTGCGTGGTAGGTAGTCAGCTGAAAATACATTCTTTGTCAGAAGCATGCCTAGAGTCAAAAACTGATGATTTTGGTACATTGACAAGCTATTCTTGCTGGGCTCCATATCTGCTGCATATGACTTCTTCCCCTTCTATGAGTCTCTCGACGGCATCTGAAGGCAGGCCAACCATTTCCAGTGTCTTTTCCCATACTTTGTATGAGGTTTCAACATTGTGCGACTCTTCAGAAGGATTAGTAGGACGACAATCTTGTGAAATGAAAGCGCAGACGGGCCACTCATCTGCTTTCAACATCTCACAGTACTCAGGAACTTGAGGATCTGTAGCAGCAAAAAGCGCACTTCTGGAACCTGCAGCATCAGTGTAATATGACCAGGTTAGACCATAAATTAAGGGAAAGCATCCAATCTAACCTTAAATAACATTAAAATGTATCCTATCTATGACCCCTAGACTTGCACTGTAGCAATCATACCAGCAGAAGACACAAGCATGTTGTTCCAGATGAAAATTAAAATGTAGACCCAAAAGAAAAGAGAGGAGAGGAGAGGAGAGAAAGGGTAATACCGAATATGGATTCAACATGAGATATTAGACTCAACCCTATACCCATGTATTTCTATTAAACATAATCCAAAAAAGAAAAACTAACACCCGTTCAACAATACAATAATATATGCTAATGCTGAATTCAACTTGTACATAGATGTCTCTCATGTATGAAAAATATCGACCACAGAGCTCCTCAATAAGAATATCTGCAAGCAGATTCAGACTTCAAAAATCATGTATATATCAGACCTTTATGCAGTTTCCTTGGTCTTTAAAGTACAGGCGCAAACCCTTGATTGAAAATGGTACGTGTTTGTGCAAGGAAAAGCAGACAATAGTACAAGTCTTGCACAACATGAGAAAAGAAGCATTTTATGATAACTAAATCTTACGTTGACCAAAAAAAATCATACTAATTGCTTTCACCTTCTCAAGTCATCTTTAGTAAAACTTTTGCTTAGCTTTGTTTTTGTCAAAGTACACTCTAAACAAAACTTCACTTGGTTGATTTCAACAATTTTAATTTTTTTTTAAATCAAGGAAATGACTAAAAGTGTTTCCGACATGTGACTAAGAAGTGTCGATGCTCACCAGGTTTCCAACCCGGATATTATGGTCCAAGGTCAGGGTATCAACAATGGAGTCGGATGGCATTGATACAAATTGGTTGACGTGAGATATTGATCGATATGCACAAAATGCTAGATCAAAGGCCAAAAAATTCATAAAAATGTAAACAACATCATTGCATCCTATATCAAAAATATAATATTTAACGCCCTAATAATGACAATCAATGATCAAAATTTCGGTTCAATGCATAGTTTCGGTGAACTTGGAAACGGAAAAGTTTCAATAATATTTTGGAAACATTTCGTAAACAAGATGAAACAAAGAAAAAAATTAAAAATTTATTTCCAAAACATCGGTCGAAATAACTGAAACATAGCTCAAAAAACACCGCGAAACACACCGAAATGCCTCGAAACATAGGAATTTTGATATTCAATCAATGATTCGTTTTGGTTTCTCTGTGAAAACATAAACGTTTCGAAACGAAATTTAATTCCTTGATCACAATGAAATATAAGGAAGCTACTAGAACAATTTAGTACACTATGTTAAGCATTAAAACAGGCTCTACCTACCCAAGAACATTTGACAAACTTCTCCAAAATAATAAAAAACAATTAAATGTGCTATTTAAGAATAAACAATTAAATGATACAGCTAAGGAATTACCTAAACAGGAGAAAAGAGAAATGAAAACTAGCTCATTTATGATTGATGGACAGACTACAAAGCTCTTGACTTTGTTAACCTGTTTGACTTCGATGCTTTCAGCTACACACACACATGTACCCAAGAGATGAGAACCAACGTTCTCAATCACCCTGCTTCAACGATTGGCTGCAAGGCTACATGACGATGACAGATTCATGATGTGTGGGTTCCAAAGTAGAAGAAAGTAAGGCTTTCACATGTTTGGGACTAGAATTTTAGAAGTTTGTCATGAAATTCTTTTTATTCCTGCTATTGATTTTATAGTTGCAAAATGGGTTGTGACTTTAATGGTCAATCATGTGACTTATTTCTGAAACATACAATATTTCATGTTTGCTTATGCATCATCTAGGTCTCGATTTTCTTTATTTCTGATCATTTTTTTTTCTCTTTGTCCAAATCTTTCACAGATGTGGGTCTATTCTTTTCTTCTCAATCTTCATTTTTTCTTTGGTTGTCCATAGTTATTTGAGATCTTACAAACAATTTTCACTCTATCGACTTGATTAGTTTGACTTGTCCACTTCAAATGATAACTTTAAGTCGGGCCAATATGGCCGAATCAAAGCTAAGCCAACACTGATTCAGCTAAGACTTGTAATATTTACATGTGTATCTTTTTGGATTGAAGAAGGCCAACTCATATACGACTTACCCAAACTTTGAATATTGATTGATATGTCTCCTTAAGAGTGTTCATCCTTCATAGTCCTTGATGACGTGATAAACAATCTCAACGTACATTGTTATATGTATAAACAAAGATTACATAATCAAAATAAAAGAGAGAAATAAAGAAAGAATATTATATTATTGCCACTAAATTAGTCTGTAACTGCTTAATAGAAAAATGCATACAAGAGGCCTTTATATAGTAGGGTAACATAAAAGAAAGCAAAAGACTAAATTACCCTTAAGACTAAATAAGCTAACTACTCTAACACCCTCCCTCAAACTCATGATATGGTAGTAGAAAATATCAAGAGTTTGGCATGAAGAAAACGAAAGCGAGTAATAGTATGCGACTTTGTGAAAAAATCTGCTAACCGCATAATAGAAGAAAGAAAAGGGAGGGAGATAGTACCTAGCCGAAGATAATAACGCACAAAGTGACAATCAATCTCAATATGCTTTGTGCGCTCATAAAAGACTGAGTTATGAGTAATCTGAATAGCACTGGTATTGTCACAATACATAGGAGTCGACGCAGGTAACATGATGCCAAGATTAGCAAGGAGCCATCGTAACCAAACTATCTCAGTTGTTGTAGACGTCATAGCACGATATTCAGCTTCAGCAGATGGACGAAAAACAACCGTTTGCTTTTACTTTTTCAAGAAATAAGAGAATCACTGCGGAAAAGGCAAAAGCCATTAGTGGACTTACGGTCCATAGAGTCACCATCCCAATCAACATCAGAGTAAGCCCCGAGTTTCATAGAGGAGGAGGAGAATAACAAACTCTAATGCAAAGTACCTCGAAGATACCGAAGAATACGAAGTACAACAGCCCAGTGAACAATGATGGGTGAGACAACAAATTGACTAACAACATGAACAGAATAGGAGATATCTGAACGAGTGACTATAAGATATACTAAACTCCCAACAATAGTACAATAGAGTGTAGGATCAGACAAAGGAGTACCATCCGAAGAAGAGTAACGAACATTGAACTTTAAAAGTGTTTCAACTATTCGATTATTTGATAAACGGACTCGTTGAATAACATATGAAGCATACTTGAGCTGAGAGAGAAGATAGCCTTTAGGAGAGGAAGTAATCTCTGTTAAGTTAAGAGAATTAATATAACACAATATTAGAGGCAATATTAGGGAGAAAGAGAGAGGTTAGAAAACTTAACCTAACTCCCATACCTAATTTGTATTTATAGTTAACTTACAATAATAATAATAACACATGCATCCCTTTTACTATTAACAATTTACACATACTACTACTCTATTATTCTTAACACTCCCCCTCAAGTTGGACTATATATATCATATAATCCAAGCTTGGAACAAATAGTTGTAAGACGCGTACGACTCAATGCTTTGGTAAACATATCGGCAAGCTGATCTTCAGATTTCACAAATGGAGTTGTAATCTCCCCGGCTACTATCTTGTCCCGAATAAAGTGACAGTCAACCTCAATATGCTTAGTTCTTTCATGAAACACAGGATTGGCAGCAATATGGATAGCTGTCTGGTTGTCACAGAACAACTGTAAAGAAAGTTGAACTGAAAAACCAATTTCCTGGAGGAAGTGTAGTAGCCAAGTCAACTCACTTATCGTATGTGCCATTACTCTATACTCAGCCTCAGCACTGGATCTTGCTACCACGGGTTGTTTATTACTTTTTCATGAGACAACATTACCTCCTAGGAAAGTACAATAACCAGTGGTTGATCTTCGATCAGAAGGAGATCCAGCCCAATCAGCATCTGAGAAACCTTCCACTCTAAGATATCCATTAGCTCGATATAACAGTCCAAGTCCTGGAGCTCGTTTGAGATNAACACAACCAAAAACCTTAAGAGGAAGGAAAAATAAGAGCTTACTAGAAAACAAAATAGAGTATGGACTTTGTCCATTTAACACAGAGGAGGGCATACGGTTAATAATATGACAAGAACTAAGAACAGCATCACTCCAATGATATCGAGGAACATTCATCTGGAATAACAAGGCACNTGAGCCACCTCAATACCCAAAAAATACCTAAACTTTTTCAAACTCTTAGTATGAAATCAATCCTGTAAAAATAATTTTAACTTGGCAATTCCCTCAGAATCATTTCCAGTAATCACAATATCATCGACATAAACTACCAATAGGACATACCCAGCATCTGTCTGCCTATGAAATACAGAATGATCTGTTTGACATTGAAGAAGACCAAACTCTAAAACTGCATCTGAAAACNCAAGTCTGATGAATAAAGTCAGTTTTACTAAGATAAGCTGAAAAAAGATCAGATTCATATTCACGAGCATTATCGGAACGTAAAGTACGTATACGACAACCAAACTGAGTTTTTATTTCTTTNAACTTTAAACCATACAAAGATTTTTTTAACCGACAAACACTCTTACCAGACTCTCCCTGAGCAGTAAACCCTGGTGGCTGCTCCATGTAGACCTCTTCAACCAAATCACCATGTAAGAAGGCATTCTTGACATCTAACTGAAACAAGGGCCAGTCAAGATTTGCAGCCAAAGAAATCAAGATACGAACAGAGGAAATTTTAGCAACAGGAGAAAAAGTCTCCTTATAATCAACACCATAAGTCTGAGTGAAGCCTTTTGCAACAAGTCGGGCTTTGAGACACTCTACAGAACCATCTGGATGAAATTTANTACTCTAGACTGAAATGACACACGGTGATGCTTACTAAGTTGACAAGCTTCACAATACAAAGACGACACATAACTAAGACTAGGAACTTGGCGCTTTAGATTCTGGAGAGAAGNTATAATCAACACCATAAGTCTGAGTGAAGCCTTTTGCAACAAGTCGGGCTTTGAGACACTCTACAGAACCATCTGGATGAAATTTAACAGCATACACCTAACGACATCCAACAGTTCGTTTAACAGAGGGTAAAGGGACGAGATTCCAAGTTCCATTATGATGTAAGGCATCCACCTCCTCC